TCTTTCTCTTAAAACTCCATGAGCATAACTTTTCCCTTGGAATTGAAGATTTCTTGTGTTTTTTTTTTTTTTTTTTTTTTTTTTTTTTTAACTTAACAGGTGCAATGGATGTAGAAGAGAGGAATCGCCAAATGAAAATGAGCAAGTACAAACAGGTAGCAGGATCAGATTCCAGGCTGGAACAAGATTATCATTCTAAGGCAAGGGAGTTTTGTTTTGAAAAGCAACAAAATATGCTAAACTAAAATATCCAATATCCTTTTAGAAAGTAATATATGAGTGGGAGGTTGTTTCTTGAGTAAAAGTTTCATGTGTACCTATAATAAAATTATTGGAAACGTGCAGCAAAACACTTAACACAGAGTGTTCTTGATTATTAAAATTTAAGAAGGATAAGTTAAATCAAATAAAAGTGGCAGTAATTATCTGTTGGAAAGAACAATAGGGCCATGATTTAAAAGCTCAAAGAGAAGGAAAAAAAGGGGTTTATTGAGTGACAGATGGAATGAGAGCTATTGAAACCTGTTCATAGCTTTCATATAGTTGAGCATAGGGTTATCTTGATATACTGAAAACTGGAAGATGTAGCGTTATTTAGTTTAAAAGTGGCAGTTTAGCTTTTGGAAAAGTATTTTATGTATCAACACAAGCTTTCACCCTAGCTGTGGCAATTGCCAAAAATCTGAATTGTTTCATAGCAGTATAGTCCCAAATATACTATCCAAAATTTCCTGCTATGTGGAACAGGGTCATGTCATATACAGTGTGTTAATTAAAGTAATCAAGATATTTTCAATTTAAACTTCTATTATACAAAAATAATTTAGTGTCCTCTAAAAAACTTCATTAATTGAGGTCAGATTATAAGTGGGAAACACGAGACTTCTGACCTATAAAAGCTGGGTGAGGAAGAGAAGTCTGATTTAGACTTTTATTTCCAGGATGTAGTTCCTTGCTCCAAGGATCTTTAATGTTTGAAGACAAAGAAATCATCAAAATCATCAAATTTATTAAGTATTATTAGTTTTGCAGATAATGCAGAGTAATATACTTGATATAATTACTTTCTAGAATGTACATTTCAATGGGGGAAAATAGAAGAAGAGCTGTAGTGAAGCCCATGACAAAATGAAATGCACTATTAATGAAAATAGTTAGAATTGACAAAACAAAAAAACCCTGTGAAAATGGCTTAGAATACTTTAAAACTCTGTAGATGTGCTGCATGATTATTTGGGTATTTTACAAATGTAGTTTTTACTGCAGAAGGCCTAGGAATTTTTTTTTAACATGTAGGAAGGACTTGGTATACTGTCATGTTTAGATGCTTGTTTTATGATGACACGGCAAAATTATTTTCACGTTGTCAGCTTTGAAAGGTGTTACCGTTTAGATCTGAGCATAGTACTGTGAGCAGACCTTCTTGCAAGTGTTATGATTGTATGTACCACAGAAATATGATGTTATGTATTGTATGTATAACCAGACTTATTCTGCTAATACTCCTGCTCCCTTGATGCTTAACTGAAATTTGAGTCAGAAGTAGGACTGGCATGGGGTAAAGAGAATAAATGGTCTCTCATGTGAAGGAGCTGGATAAAATATAACTACCTAAGGAAACATTTCCTACCCTTGTTTTTCCATTTCACCCACAACCATATTATTGGGCCTCACCATCCATCTTTTATCTTTTTTATTAAAATTTTACCTTCAGTATTATTCGAATGTATTAAAGAGGAAAATAATGAATGGAATTATTTTATGAAAATGGTGATTTATTTATTGCACACATCAAACAAATTGTCTCCAGAAATAAACAGTTAATTTACTCTTCTGCCAAAGTGTAGTTTCAGTATTTGAAAATGAGTTATTTATTCTATCAATGAACTTATGGAACTAGACACTGAATATTCACATATATGTATTAATTCATAATGCATTATTAAAATTGTGTAGTTTTAAAGCCATATAAGAACCATAACTCTCATAAGCCATATGAGAGTTCGGTCTTCACTTTTTTACTACCACTGGTTCAGTTCCCCTTAATTAAGTGTCTATATTATCTAGAGACAGAAAATGAGTAAGTACAATTTATCTACCTGGTTTCTACAAAAATTCTTGTGGAATTATGAACTGAAACACGTATGTCAAATGCTGACTGAAATCTCATGGTCTGTATACTATACAGTGACTTTGACTTTTTAAATCTGACAGCTGGCACAAGCAGGCAGTCAAGCATGCCATGGCTGAGAAAAATGTCATTACGTAGGTACTAAGCAACATTCAGGAAAGTTAGCACATGCAATTTGCTTTTACATTTCTGTTCTATTTCTTTTTTTTTAAATGGGAGTCAACAGCAACTGTATGTCCCTCATGATTACTTAAAAAAAAAAAAAATCCTTCCTTGCTGAGAAAGCAAAAGGTGTGACAGTAGAAGTTATATTAAATGCTTAAATATTAAAATAGGCATCCTGTGTTATACCTCTCTAGTTTTATTCTACCTCTGAAAGTCAGTACTAGAGGCTTTAGAGGAAGGTACATACATTTCTATGGTGCATAGTTATATATTAAGAACCTTGTGGGAAGAGTTCACTTCCAGACATCTGTATTCTTAGAAGCTGCTGGAATATGAAATTGATTTTCCCTTATATTTTTTCCCCAGGACTGATAAAATGGCAGATTGTATTTTTATTATTCATATACATGCCTCATTATTTTTTGAAAACTAAGTGTTCTGCTTCCATAATATTTTGTATATATGAGTTTGGCAAGTGATATATTGTGTAAAAGAGTTATTTCCCTAAATGCAGAAGTTGCGTAAGTATGGATTCAGCACAGACATAAGGAAAGCAAGCAATATATTTGATTTTCATATAAACATACTGACAACTAAAGAGACATGAGAGGAAAAGCAACGTGGGCATTAAGGATTAGGTAAAAGTATTTCTGGCATTGGAACAACTATTTATTTCTGAATATTGAGTACTAGTAGACTTGTAGTAGACTAGTCGTAGACTAGCAGACTGAAGTCTGAATTGCAGTGCTGGTAGAAGCTGACCTGGAGGAAAACTTGAGTTCTGCTAATACAGATAAAAAAGTGCAGTAGGAAAGTGTTCCACCAGAGGGAAAAAAAGCCAGTTACTCTACTGTAGCTCTGCAACACTAGCCTGATTGATGCAATTTTCCTCAGTAATGTTTCTAGGACTCCTTTGTTGTTTTGCATAAAAATTAAGCTTCCCAGTTCTTAAGTGTGTAAGCAAGCTGCCCTGTGAAGAGGGCAGGGCCAAGGTGGGAGCACAGAGAAGCTGAGTGAGGAGCATCTGGATTCACTTTGGACTAGTTTGGTTGATCTGGTTTTTGAAGTCAATTCCCAAAAATACCTTTTAAAACCTTTCTGAAACTCTCTGCTTTGCTTCTTGCCTGGTGCTGCTGCCATTGGCTTTCTAAGAAACAAATCGATAGGGCTATACTGGGTGAGTAACTCCTTCCCCTGGCCATTCCCACCACTGCTCAGATTCAGGAGTGTCCCCACTGACAAACCAAAGGTAAAGGGTGGGAGGAATCGTGCCATTCCTCTCTCCTTGCCTTCATGACTGCAATGTTCCCAGTGGATTGACTAGGGAGAGTTGAAAAACTTTGTCGCTACTGAGAAAAAAGAGTGAAGATACACTTCTTGTATATGGAGCCCTAGAAATGTTTGCAATCAGTGTGAAATCAGTGTAGGACCAGGAGACAATTCCATCAACTCGGGCCATATTAACCACTACAAAACGGACTGAGGAACTAAACACGTTGAATGTCAAATTAAAGGGGGCTGGATTTACGCAGGAGTTAGAATAGTGAAAAATTATTATTTTCTTTAGGAACAAAGGTAAAAGAGAGACTGGCAACTAGCTGACACACATTTCAACCTCAAAGTATTGTGAGGCTAATTTTATTTGGTTTTTTAGGAGAAAATAACGACTACAAAAAGGCAAAGAAATATAACAGTTAGTAATAGTAATGTAGTAATTAGGAAGATAGTATATTAGAGCAACTAGGAACAAAGTTGGGGTAAAAGAGGTAGAAGACCAGATAAAAATTGAAGTTTTTGTAGAATTGGTGACAAGATTATTTAGCCACATGTAGAAAAGAGTACAACAAATAGAGAATAATGCAGAACATCAAAGAGGACTTTCCAACTCCACCTTTAATGATTTGTATTGATGATAAGACTGAAACTTTCTACATCATCAGATGTATGCAATGGTGCAGTTCCTGTTAATCAATAACCACAATTCAGGTTTTTGATAGGAGCATAATTCTCTGTGTTTGGTGTAGGAAACTAGTAGTATTAGGCAATCTAGCATGCTGCTTTGTAATCTTCTAACCTGTTAGCAAAACCAAGACAAATTAAGCAGTGGAAGAATTAAGCATGTGTTCAGCTTATTTGATCAGTGTAGATGCAGCTGAAATACCCTTGGAGGCTGCAGACACTGACAAGCTGCAGTTCTTCAGACTGAGACACTTTGATTTAGCAATGAATCAAGTACTGCCTTATGGGTTACCTGTGTGAGAGAATGTGCAAAAGGTAAGAGGTGTAACACTGGAGGTGGAAGAGGTTGAGTTTGAATACATCAGGAGCAGATCTCCTTAACTCTCAGTCTTGTTGCAATGTGCAAAAAGTGTCCCAAGAACTGCCTCTTTCCTCTGAAACCTTCTATAAGGTCATCAGTACAGCTACATGTGGTATCCTTTGACTTCTGTTGTTGATTGGAATGTTTGATTTAATGGTGTTTTGGAGATGCCCTTTTCTCCTCATTAAAAAATCACAACAGAGCAGTACACAGAGCAGTAAAGATTATGAGCAGAAATACTTGTCACTTTTCATCTTGAAACCCTTGTGGAAGAGGTGTTGAACATCCAAGCTAATAGGGTGATAAGGGTTTGATATTCTTACTGTATATAAGCTGCAGTTAATTTATATTGTTTTAAAATTGTCAATTGTTTTTGAAAATTTAAGTTTAGAGGCTGGGAGTTTGGGGAAGATCATGATATGCCCAGTAATAATTTGATAATTTATAATAATTGTGAATATACCTCTTTGATCCTATAATTCACGAAAGAAATGGAGGCTAGGTTAGATATCTATAGTCCCTCAAAACAGTGCAGAAATTGGAAGTCTGTTTTGTACACATTTCTTTTTAACATAACAGTTTAA